ATTCCAAAATTGAAATTAATTAGGTAAAAAATAACTTGTATAATTTTCTTTCATTTGAGTAATGAAACGAACATAAACTGAAAGATAAAAAGATCTTTGGATTGAAGCTCACCACATTTGTGAAAGAATTCGGTGAAAAGACCCATAATATGAGCAAGTGTTAAATTCCTTTCGGCAACAACACCCTCGACCTAGAAGTGAAATTAAGCAAAACAGCAAATAAGGTTAATAATTAAAGACATCACTTTTTTTAAGAAGTATGAAGAAGCCGTGCATGTTCGAATAGAATTTTGTGCGTTAGCAAACCTGATGGAATTCGGCCAAATGTGTTGCATCTAGTGTTTCATTTCGGAAAACCCTGTCGATACTGAACATTTTTGCAGGTTTGAATCCCTATAAGAAATATATCAAGGAGGTTACTCGACCAGAGAATGACGAAATTTTTTGCTCAAGTAAACTTTAGTTCATCTTAATTCATTAGATCAAACTTATTCGACGATACCTTATCCTAAAGTTTGGTCTGTTACAATTTAATGAAAAACCTCTTTTGCAAGCTTATATAATTGATGAGCGCTAACTGCAGTAGTGTGCGTCCGTAGAACATTTTTTTGGGCTTCCTCCAATTTCCAATCATAGTTATAACTGAAATAAAGTGTAAAAAAATATTCTTTCATTGATGTGAATATGTAAATTATTTCATTCTATTTTCACAGATAAAACTGTAAAATTTACAAAATCCAAATCAATTCAATGAAATGACCATACTGTTTCCAGTTATATTCAGACTTTGTTATTTTTATACCAATTATTCGTCATAATTTTCAAGTCTGTTTCTTCGTATAATTTTGTTTGATCAATAGTCAGCTTTTGAAAATGCCTAACTTCGAAGTCTCGGATCAGTGTAATTACCACTTTAGCACTTTGCTAATTACCGAAGAAATTTACAATAAAAACTTACCCCTTGGAACCATATCCACCCTCAGCATGAACCTTTTTAACTCGCTGTAAATAATCTTCCGGGAAATCAAAACTTCTTTCTGGATCTGATATAAAAAAAGTGTCATGAGCATCACGTGCTGGATGTTGCTGTGGTTGAAATAGAGCGTCGAAATTCCAAAAGGAAGATTCGACGTATCTCAAAAAATAATAAATAAAACAGCATATGAATAAGTAAATAAAATAGCATATGAATACAGAAAATTTTCTACCGACACAATAGCAGGGTAGGTCATCGAACAATTACCACAAAGTGAATAAGAAAAAGACTGTTGAAATTTAAATTCAGCTTTCAGTTAAATTTAGGCAACATCTCACCTGTTAGTAGGCATCTCAACAAATCCCATTTGGAAAAAAATTTGTCGAAATTCGCTTCTCACTTTCATAAGCGGATGCAAATGGCCACCAGTTGGCATCATACCTAAGGCGTCAAAGTTATACTTCTTAAATAGCTTCTTTCTCCATGAACTGCTAAAAAGATATATGAATTTTTACATTTTTTTATGCGCATAAAGTCTGTTATTTGCTGCAGCAACCATCTTTTAGTTACTAAAGTTAGTTAAAGAACGAATTAATACAAATATTTTATCACAGGAATTCTACTTACCTGTTAATCATATCTGCCGTGAGGTCAACTTCGGGCTTACTTAAAACCGTCGAAAATGCTGAACCTTTTTTGACCAAATAACTTTTGATGTTGCTGAAAAAGTGAGGCAATGGTTTCAGATGCAATGAAGACAGTAATATAACTGCACTGCTTAATTAAAACTGTATATATGTGCATAAATTAACAGAAGGTAGAAAAGTGCATTCAATTTTGTATTTTACTATTTTCCTTTTTGCAATATCCCTCCTTATTTCTCTTGTACTATGTGAAACGTAGCATATTTAACCTACTCTACATTTGATTTAAAACTTTAAATTTATTCGCAGTGCAGGTCATTTATTCGTTTTCCTTTTGGCCGTGATTATAATTCAGTAACCTACGGAAAATTAAAAAAAACTCAGACCACGTTAGTGGTGAGACAAGCTAATATAAAAAATATTGTTAATACTACCAGCTGAAAAACCTACATTTCCGTTATCAGTTTCCTCTTCTTCAATTCGTTTACGGTTTTCATATCCAATTTCTGCACATTCCCCACCAAAATCATCTTGAGTTCGCCTTGTACTTTATCGTTAATCGTTTCGACTTTTCGCATTAGACGTACTGTTCCAGCAGTCTTATCAATTGCAATCCATCCGGATGCTATTGCTTTACTTATCCCAACTTTACCGAATGGCAGTTTCTGTGAGCAAATTGGTTTATAAAGCATAGTATTACTACACTGATGAAGCAGTAGACCTTGAAAGAACTACCTGTTTCATATCATAAAATATATTCTTTTATTCGCTCATGACAACATAAAGCACGCTTTTGAATGATTTCATATAACGCTTTAGAAATTAAAGAATTACTTAACGAAGTAGTACCATTAATTCGGCTTGATCAATCCCATTTGGCCCAACAAATCGAAAAATTTTCGCTTCATGAGAACCATTTTCAACCATTTCCTTTCCCTCAGCTGTCAATTCGAAAGCTTTTGAAATTCGTTCGTCCGTTTCCACTAACTATACAAACAACGGAATCATAAAAGCAACTTGGAAATGATCTGTGAGTATAGCAGGACTAGGACATATTTTATCGTTTCTATTCATTGAGCATAAAAGATAGCAAATCTGATAAAAGAGCAAAATAAAAAATAGACTCGACAATACAGACCCCTTCAACTGCTTGTAAACTTTTTACAGCACCCACTACTTTCTGATGATCTTCTCTGATAGTTGCAGCATATTCGAACGTATCGAGTTGATGATGCTTCTCAAGGTGATATAGTAAATTTTGGGATAAACTGGTATCATCTGCTTCTTCAAGATCCGACGGTGACATTTCACAACTAAAAAAGTATTAGGGACGACAAAGAACATGGAGAGAGAAAAATTAGTCTCATTAACTGTTTTCAACTTCCAGTTCAAAAGTCAGGTAGCGATACTGCTCATGAAAGGTTTAGTGAGCACGTTCTGATAGAGTTTGTGATTTTTTTTTAATTTCTAAACATAAAGGACTTTTCCGCAGTTCACTTCCATTTCTGAGCATTTTTATAAGTACGAGAGTTTTCTATGTCAATGTTCGTGGTCTAATTTAAGATGCAGAAAACACAAAATTCAATCTAACCTTTGTTTTCCTTCCAGAAATTTCAGATGATTCAACCACCGATGAAAATGTGGATATCTGATAGGGTCTATTGTGTCTGAAGCAAAGTTCTTGTATACATTCCAATCGCTGTCGCACGGTAAGTATCTGGAATGTTTTTTTTTTAATATTAAATTTCCATCAGTAAAAATGACGAAAAGAGAATAATCAAAAGTAGCTGATTTTATGATGCACAAACCTTCAAATTGAAAATTACACACAAATGGATCACGCAAAATTGAATTGCAAAAGTATGAAGCAGTAGGCTAATTATGGCCTTAACCTTACACTTTCTACTGCATTTAGAAATGATGATTTTCCAAATGGGAATAATTGTTAGAAGATATATCACACGTGTTTCAATTTATTTGATATCAACCTACTCTCCGATGTAGCTGAAATTTGCCAAATGGTCGTTAAGCACTTGTGGATTCCATTTCTCCATACACCCTGCACCAAGACCTAAATATTGAAATTTTACACTAATATCATGATGTGAGAAAATATAAATATGCACCATACGATAGAATTTATTTACAAACTTTTATCCGACCATACAGATATAACAGCTTTAAAAAATCAAGTTTTAGGAGAAGCACAAGTATTGCGCAGCAATCAAGTCGTTTTTTTCACTTTTTATTACAAAGGTTACAATTAGATTGCATGTTTTGATCCTTCAGAGATTGTCTTCACTAAGAAAATGGATTTTTGACAAAGCACAACTTCTGAAAATTGAGCAATTTTCGAGTTCTGCTGAAGTCAGCTTACGTGATTAACGTAAAAATTTTACTTCGTGAATCTAAGCTTATGAAAATCTGAACATCTAACACAGTATTATCATTTCCTCTAATCACTCATTTTATTTTAAAATAAAATCGACTGCAGATGGTTTTTTAATGAAGGACAATGATATATGATGTCGAAAACTGAAGACAAAATAAAGTGGAACGAAAGTAATAAATGAATGGAGGAAATTATACACGAAACGAGATGCAAACTAAAACAATTAAGCAAGTAAGCCGATGTATAAATTACACAGTGAAACGTTTATTAAGTAATGTAAAGGAAATTTCGTATTCAAAAAGAAGAAATTTTCCAAAAATAGAGAAATTTATATATTATTCCCAGCTATATTTTAAAGAGAAAAAAACGAAAAATAGAGTTGAAGGAATGAATGAAATGAATCCATTCAATTTTAATTCAGTAATTGCAAATCAACGAATATCATTTCGATATTGCTTACAGAATTAACCGAATAACTGTTTAAAAACAAAACCAATTAACTTATACGAGTATTAGTTTTTTAGTCAGTTATGGCTGGAACACAAAGAAAAGAATTATTAAGAAATTTAAAAGACAAAAGACATCAGTATTTGACAACACCGCAAAAAAGCATTCTACGAGATCTATGTCATGCGTATGATCACAGCTGTATTGGGTATCATCAATTTACATAATTCATTAAAACGAAACAATCGTTACAACACGCAATCCAAATTCCTCCCATAACGAAAATAACGACAATTTCGATCTTACAAACAACATGCAATAATAACATATCAAATACAGCTATCACGTACCACCTACGCATTGCATTTATACGGTCCATAAAAATTGAGTGCCGAAGCTTTTAACTTTTTAGGGTGGTCCTGTATTAATAAGTGTGAGGGGTTTCCGAATGAAATGGCGAGAGGGAATGTGATTAAGGCTGGCAGTACTATTAAGATAGTTAATAGCTGTATACGATTTTTTTATTGTTTTAGTTAGTAAGATGACAAAAGAATTGCAATGCTTATTGGATCAATATCCTGTCTTTGAATACAATGAGAGACAAAAGGTCTGTTTTTCTTTTCTGACTAGTGAGAATAATCTATATTAATTCAGTGTGCTAATATAAATCTTATTAAGGTTATTCAGTCAGATTACTTTATTATGAATAAACTAACCGAGCCGAATTATTTTCGGAGCTGTGATAAGATTAAGTTTAATTAGCTTTTTTTAAATTAATTTTGTTGAATTTATTTTATTTCTCACCGGGTATCGCATCACATATAGTCTTAAATCGTTTGTAGTTGCGGTGTACGTTGACGGGACACGAGATACCCTCACGTTTTGATCAACTTGACCATTACGTTAAGACATCAAAATTTGTCCGCGCCTGGAGGATGCATCAAATTATGAAGGAATATGGTGAATATTTCGATGATATTGGGTACTTTTCTCTCATTTACGTATTTGCAATAGTTCAATTTGTTGTGAAAGGAATTTAGGGTTGGATTTGAATCTAAATTCTTGGTGCACATTATTTTTGTACACCCAGAATAATTTGGCAAGTGAAATATTTATGCTTAATAAAAGCTGTTAATGTTGATTATCATTGACGATGTAAGATCACAGAATTTCCACTATATATTCTAGTCAGTTAAATTCATTGTGGGGATTGTAATTGTTATAATGCATAACTTACAACTGCTTCGTTTTTAGCCCTCATGAATTCGGTTGTAAGTTCACGAGGAAGGTTATTGCGAAGGATCCAGATGATCTTTTGAGACATATCAATGGGAAGAGGTTCAAGAAAGGGTTAGAGAAAGGTTTGTTTGTTATCGTGATTTTGACTAAATGGGTATATATAATTAATGAATGCTGTCTCACAAGTGATTAACGACTAGTGAACTGCCTCAAATGCCGAAGAACTTTATAGTAAATTTAAATATTGGGACAAAATTAAAAAGCAATTTCGAGAGTGCTGAAAGAACTTTGTTTTTCAAGAAATCGGTTGCAGTTTAATTAAATCATTATATTATCATTATTTATTCCAAAATCATTCATTATTAATCGAGCTACATTTTGCTAATTGTGGAGAAAAACGGTGGTGATATGCAATTGGTTTGAAGTTATTTTCTTTTTTTAGTATATATGTTGAATTTGTTTTCAAAGGGTGTCGGTTTGTAATTCATGCAATGTCCGTTCTCTGCAGCTGTTCAGTATGTTTAATGTACATTAGAGGGTGATGAAAATGGTAATTATTCGTCTTATGTCGCTGAAACAAATCGAGTAGCACGAAGAATGACAGGGAGTTCGACGGATATGAAAATATGACAGTTCAAAGGATTGATGGATTGAAATTTATTTACAGATCCATTATTATAGGAGAAAAGAAAGTAAAACATTGAGATTAGTGAACAGAACAAAAAAGTTTTTATAGTTCTACTTCGTCTGGTTTTCGTTTATCTGGCGCATATGTTTATTACAAGAATGAAGATGTGAAGAACAGCTGTTTTATTGCTAGCAATTCCCAATTTAGAGCAAATTTTTTTTCTAAGCCTCAATGCTGTATGCTATCTGCCTTTTCCCCTTCGTTTGGTTTACTGATTTTTCATACAAGTAAGGAGTGAGTGAGTTATTACTTTTTATTTAATTGGATGATGATCTTTATGTTTTTCCAATTCCTACGTTATTTATATCAAGACAAAATTTATTTACTTATTTCTGCATGAAGTCGACTCCATTATTCTCCAATTAATTGTTTATTTCTTTCTTTCAGAATTTAAATGTATCAATTATTATATTATTATTATTATTATTATTATTATTATTATTATTATTATTATTATTATTATTATTGTTATTATTATTATTATTATTATTATTATTAATTATTATTTA